CCTCCCCTCTGACTGGGGGTGGAAGGGGCAGTGGCATTTTCCAAGCTATAGGGCAGAGGGTCCCAATTTTATTTGCAGAGAGGTAGCGGGGTGCGTCTGATCTTGGTAACACACAAAAAAAGCAGCCACGTAGCTCTGTGAATAATGAGATAGTCTTGTTAGTCTGTACAGTGCTACCTGACTGCTTTTTTGGTTTTACCCATGTTATTGGGCAGAATTTTGCAGCACCCCGAATAACAGTCTAATATATGGAGCTGAAAAAGTAGCCCACAAATAAGTAAGGATCGTCATAAACAAATGCTAAACAAGGTCATGCGATCAACACACATGAAAATTGTTTTCAATCCAATTCATAAATGCTTAAATATTAATTTTTTCTTTAAATCATAAAATGTGGTTGTAATGGAATTTTCTTGCGGAACCCTTATTTTCACTTTGTGGAACCCCGGGGTTCCGCAGAACCCCATTTGGGAAACATTGTTATCAGGAATTTCAGGATTTTTTTTTTTTCTGTTTTTAAATTTTTCATTACCGCATTGCTGAAGATGATCAAATCACAGCTTTAAGAAACTCACCCAGCCTGGCTGCAAGGGGTGGGATGCGGGGTGGGGGGAGAGGGGCAGAGCGTAGAGTTGCCAGGGGTCCGGTTTTGAACCGGACAGTCTAGTATTGGAGCTTTCTGTTCGGGAAACAAATTGAGAAAATAGAAATGTCCGGCGTTTTCTAAATAAGATGGAATGCAGATTGTGATGGAATGTCAAGTGTGTTCAGTATTTTTGTTGAAACCATCTGGCAACCGTACCAGAGGGTCCCTGCATGTTAAGGACAACCCTGCCCAGCAGTTGATGAGAAGGGGAGAATAGCAAAAGAGGGTGTCACCAAAAGGGTGGGGGAGTCACTGGCCCTGCACCCCGCTCCACAGCCAGACATAACTCTTCGCCGGCAGGTAGGTCAGAAGGGTTATTGGTTCACAGGGACACAGCGTAGCACAGATGTGTAAGCACAGGACCAGAAGCGGCCAGCACCATCCGTCTTGGGGAGAGGGGAGCCCAGAGCCCTGGGCCCCCTCCCTGGATCCTAAGCCAGACCAACTCACACCCTGCAGGCAGCCCCACCTCCTTTGTCCAGCTTCCCCTGCAAAAGGTGTCACCTGTTTGTACACACACCCCCTCCCAGGCTCATGTTACAGTGAGTCTGGGCCATTGTGTACATGCTGGGCTGGGGCAGCCTCCCCTCCCGGAGAGTCACATCCAAAACTCCCATTCCCGTGTGGGCACCAGTGCGGCGCCTAGGGAAACTGAGGCACGCCCACACAGAGCAGTATAGGACAGTAGAAATGACATGCAACATCCAAAATCGAACCGAGCGCATCCAACCCCCAAAGAGGGAAACTGGCTTTTTGCAGTGAGCTAGCCACGTGCTGTCTCTGTTGAGACGCAGTCTGACAGTGCCTAGTTGGCTCTGTACGGCTGTGTGTGCCAAGAGCCAGGCAGGCACTTCCCAAGCACGCAGGAAGGCCGGCACCTGCTCACAATCCGAGGCATTAAAAACCTCACCAGTCTCTCCTCCATTTTAGTTGGGATTGGTCTTGCCTAGAGCAGGGGGCTGGACTTGATGACCTTCTGAGGTCTCCTCCAGCTCTATGGTTCTATGGTTCTATGATGGACTTGCCTTGGTTTGCACAGAGTTCGGACAGGGCCCGGGGCACCGGGCTCGGCTTTTCTCTCGTCCTTTCCAACTGCTCCAGCACGTTTAACGAGGCTAGACGTGTTTAATAATTCACTCCATCCTCTTTTCCCCAAGAAAGCATCGCTCCAGCAACCACAAAGATCAGGGCCGTCAGCTCCAGGACCACAGGGGACCCTTGCGGTCACCTAGTCTGACTGGCCAGGCCCCAGGATCTTGCCTAGATCATTCCTAGAGGGGGCTCTTGTAGGGAATTTGAAAATGACCCGGGATGGAGAAACCCCTGTGGCTGTGAAAGGGACTTGGAAAGGGGGTGAGAGCCAGGCCAGGGGGACGGGAGGGGAGATTTTCTTGTACTCTCATCTCTCCCCATCTGTTGTCTCCTGTATTAGGTTGTAAGCTCTTTGGGGGAGGGATTAGCTCCGTTTTCGGTGTCTGTACAGAGCCCAGCGCCACGGTGGGGTGTCACTACAGCAATGCAGAGAAAGGCTGTGAAAGGGACTTGGAAAGGGGGTGAGAGCCAGGCCAGGGGGACGGGAGGGGAGATTTTCTTGTACTCTCATCTCTCCCCATCTGTTGTCTCCTGTATTAGGTTGTAAGCTCTTTGGGGGAGGGATTAGCTCCGTTTTCGGTGTCTGTACAGAGCCCAGCGCCACGGTGGGGTGTCACTACAGCAATGCAGAGAAAGAAGAAGATCGGGGGTTATCCGCAAGGAGGGACATTGGAGAGCCTTCTGGAATACGCTGGTATTTGTACCAGTTCTTTGCACCTCTCTACGCCGTAGGGAAGGGTGCAACTCAATGGTGGGCAACCTGCAGCCCACGTACGGCCCTTTGGAGGTCTATGTGTAGGTGGCAAGATTGTGCTGGTTTTCGCCCACGTTGGTTTTTTCCTACCGGTATTGCTCACAGCTCTGCCCGCGCCTCTGAAGGGACACAGCCTGGCGGGCGTTTGTTCGCGTCCCCGTCTCGAGGGGAGGTGGCAACGCCAGGGTGGGATTGCCCTGCCGCGGCCAAGCGCACAATCAGCGTCCTGCCTATCCACTCCCAGGTGGAACCTGGCACAGGCCGGCTGAGGAGCTGACGCCCCCGCCCCCTTTGCTGTGTAGCGCCTAGTGGGCGGAGTGATTTGGGGAGGGGCCACCGACTCCTGCCCAGGAGCCAGGGACTAGTGAATTGGGGCTCCGAAGAGCTG